AAATGAAGCAAAGCTTATTTATTGATATCTCCGATAAGTTACAAATATGTACATATACATGAATAAAAATAAACAAACAAAATGGAGCCTTCACAAAGGTTGCTCAGGAGAAGTCTCAACAGTTGGCAGAACCCCAAAAAGAGGAGGTACCGAAGGGTGATCATTCGAAGTCTCAGTACGGGGCAAAACCCCAGAAGGAGGAGGCACTAAAGGTTGATCATTTGGAGCTTCATTACGCAGTACAGCCCAGAAGACGAAGGCAATAAATGCCTTTGGAACAAACTTACAAACATCTGATGATCAAGTAAAATCTGACCATCAGATTCCTGCAGCTGGTCGAGCTTCCTCTTCATGTTTGTAGCATAGTCATGTGCGAGCCTGTGCAACTGTTTATTCTCATGCTTGAGCCCTCTGATCTTCTGTTTGAGACTTATCACTTCAGCTGCCAATGATTCAACTTGGCGGGTTCGAGCAAATAGGCGTTGGGCCATATTAGACACAGAACCTACACACTGAACACTGAGAGCTAGAGAATCTTTAACAGCCAACTCATCAGACTGTTTGGAAAGTAGTCTGTTATCTTTGGGAGTGAGAAGGTTCTTAGCCACCACCGTAGTGGTTATATCATTCTTCATCATAGAGTCCCCAACGGTAAAAGGACCAGTAGGGAATAAGAAGGATGGGCGCCATATGTTGTCTTGAGGAGGCATGACTGTCTCTTCACCAAAGTTCAAGTCAAAACGACGGTCGGATGGGCCAGACATTTTCAGAAATGATGAAGGAGAAATGAGGTCCAATAAATCTCTGAAGTACAAAAATAAGGGGAAAAAACCTACAAGTAATAACTCTATGAACGTACTTCTTGCACACAATTGGTGCCCCTATAAAAGAAAGGCAGGAGGGCCGTTTGTTCAAAAATCGAAGAGGCACCACTCTCCAGATTTCGAGAAGCGGATTTTCCTGAGTAAAATATGTCGACAATCTCCACATGTAACATCAACTTCTCAGGTACCCCAGATAACTTTGCCAAAGATCTCTGACAAAGTTTAGACACATAAAATTTGAAGGTCCAGCTACCCTACTATTACCCATAAGGGTAAAGGAACAACACCACTGCTTGTTAACTGGAAAGTCCCTATATGTGTCAACCTCTGTGCTCTGTGGCAAGGCAGACTGGCAAAAATGCCTAACCTTTACTCACATCCGAGAAAACACTCCCAACAAGATTGCTTGCCCATAAATTGAAGAGGCACCGCTTTCCGAATCTCGAGAGCCAGATCCCCCAATAGAATTACTTGCCTAAAAATTGAAGAGGCATCGCTCTCTAAATCTCGAGAGCCAGACTCCCAATAGGATTGCTTTCTCAAAAATCGAAGAGGCATCGCTCTCGGAATCTCGAAAGCCAGACTCCCAATAGAATTGCTTGTTCAAAAATCGAAGAGGTAACGCTCTCTGAATTTTGAAAGCCAGATCTTTAACATATCTTGTTTCCCGAAAACCGAAGAGGCACCACTCTTCGAGCTTCGAGAGCCAGATTTCCTTGGATAAAGCTTGTTTGCAATCTTCACACTCAACATCAGCTCTCCGGACACCACGGACCACTTTTTCAAAGTGCTCTGACGATGTTAAAACACGTGAAGCTTGTAGCTCCCACTACATTGCTATGACCAAGAAGGGTAAAGGAATAACATTATTACTTGTTGGGGAAACTCCTATATATGACGACCTCCATCCTCCACGGACAGGCAGACCTGCAAAAATGCTCAACCCTTCCTCATATCTGAGAGGGCACTCCCAACGAAGCCTCTCAAAATACTCAACTTTCTTTCCCTCGATAATACCTCTGCAAACAAGCCACACCAGAGCAAAAGTATCTCATATCATCAGGGTTAAAAGCAAGAGTATCGCATATCATGCTTTTTCCTCGTCTTTTCCTTCGCCCTTGTTTTTAACTGCAAGACAATGAGAAAGAGAGCAATCAGTCAGCACTTGGAATCAAGCTTCCAGTCAGGAACTGACTACCTGGAAACCCTTGCCTGATTACTTACCTGGCATTGCTTTCGAGTACTTATCTTCAACATCTTGGGCTTCTAGAGAAGATACCACATCTGCTTGAGGAACATATAAGGCAAGTGAGAATGATACAAGGAAGCATGTGGAGACAAGCGCAGCAGAACACGTGCGGTTTATCTATTGCTTTGTCAACAGCAAAGGTATCTCATATCATCAAGGTCGAACGCACTCTTGATTTGATGGACTTGTTTTGACCCTCAAATTCTTGAGTCGGCCTTATACTCTTGAGGAAACCAGAAAACCCTTCAACCCAGTTCAAGAATAAGCCTGTGGAAAGTTACTTCTTCAAAAGCAAAAGTATCTCATATCATCTCTTCTCCATGTCATTTTCTTTGTCCTTGTTGATGTCTACAAAACAAGGAGAAGGAGAATAATCAGCCTAAACACGAGTTCAAACTTTCGATCTGAGACTAACTGCTTGGAACTCTAAATGCTTACTTTGTCTGTCACCTCATTCGGCAGATCTCCTCACTCAAAGACTTGGGGGACTCCTACTATAGGGTTTGTATCGTGCTTGACCGCGCCCGAAACTACAAGTAAGCTTCAAGGGAAATTGATACATTACCTTGTGCATCTCCATCGGTTAAAGATACCACCCTTAAATGGAGGAAAAGTACTTGCAGAGAAGATGCCACATCTACCTATGAGATAGATAAGGCAAGTGAAAACGATACCACACTTCGGTACTTAAAAGTTTCGTAATTACTCAGCGGCTTGGATCTTGCAAGTCCCCAACTGAGGAGTTTCCTTCACTTGGGAACTTAGAGGAGCACTATTTGTACCATACTTGACCAATCCTGAAACTACCAAGCACCGGTCAACGTTATACAGTCAAGGACCCATAAGAGTTTCCTTCCAACTAGGAGGCTAATCACAACGCAACATGTGTCAACACCAAGAGGCAAATCACAGGGTGACACATGTCAACATCAAAGGCCAATCATAGCATGACACGTGTCAAGGCCAAAACAAAGCTAGAAACTCTCTTCTATAAAAGGAGATCATTCTCCCACAATAAGCTCTAATGTCATTTGTACTAAATCATTCACTAGTACTCACTAAATGAGAGCTTGAACCTATGTGCTTGTGTAAGCCCTTCACAATTAATGAGAACTTCTCTACTCTGTGGACGTAGCCAATCTGGGTGAACCACATACATCTTGTGTTTGCTTCCTTGTCTCTATCCATTTACATACTTATCCACACTAGTGACCGGAGCAATCTAGCAAAGGTCACAAACTTGACACTTTCTGTTGTACCAAAGTCCTCACTGATTTTGTGCATCAACAAGTTCAATGGTCTTAAAGCACTTATTATGAAAGAAAATGGTTGTGCCTACCATATTCATTGCTTTGCACATCAACTTCAATTAGCTCTTGTAGCTGTGGCAAATAAGAACATCCAAATTGAGTCTGTTTTTAGTATAGTTACTATTTTGGTAAATGTTGTTGAAGCTTCAATGAAACGTTGTGATCTTCTTCGAGAGAAGAAATCTATCACAGTTATTGAAGCACTAAATAGTGGTGAGTTTACAAGTGGGAAAGGCAAAAATCAAGAAACTACTTTGAAACGTGCTGGAGAAACACGTTGGGGTTGACACTTTGGTACTTTAGTAAGTATAATGACTATGTTTTCATCCATACTTGATGTACTTGAAGTAATAGCAGATGATGGAGTAAGCTCTCAACAAGGATGTGAAGCGAATAATTTATTGGATTCCATGCAATCATTTGATTTTGTGTTTAATCTACACTTGATGAAAGCTTTACTAGGAATAACCAATGAATTGTCACAAGCATTGCAAAGGAATGATCAGGATATTGTAAATGCCATGAAGTTGGTTGTAGTTGGTAAACCAAGGTTGGAGATAATGAGGAAAAGTGGTTGGGATTCTTTACTTAGAGAAGTCTCAGAATTTTGTCTTAAACATAATATTGATGTGCCTAATATGGATGATATGTTTCTTTCTCGAAGGCGAGGGTAACAAAAAGCACAAGCAGTCACAAATATGCATCATTATTGTGTTGGGATATTTTATGTTGTTTTGGATTGGCAACTTCAAGAACTAAATAATTGTTTCAATGAGACCAACACTGAGTTAATTCTTTGTTTGGCATGTTTATGTCCAGCCGACTCCTTCTCTGCTTTTGATAGCCAAAAGCTATTGCGTCTTGCCCAGTTTTATCCTAAAGACTTCTCTATGAATGAGCTGGTGACACTTAAGATTCAACTTGAGACTTACATTATGGATATGCGGTCTAGCATTGAGTTTTCAAGTTTAAAAGAGATTGTAGATCTTGCAAAAAAAATGGTTCAATGCAAAAAACACAAGGTGTATTCGCAGGTTTACTTGCTTGTGACATTAGCATTAACTCTTCCAGTTGCTACTGCAACCGTTGAAAGAACATTTTTAGCCATGAAAATTCTGAAGAATCGATTGAAAAATTGGATGGGAGATCAATGGATGAATGATAACATGGTTATTTTTATAGAAAGGAGATATTTGATGGTATTGGTAATGATGTTGTCATGCAACACTTTCAGAACAGGAAAATGCGTTGAGGGATATTGTAAAGGACTGTTGCTTGAAAAACTTTCTGGATTAATATATAAGCATTGTGTTTAGTAAATTCTTGAGCTTTTTAATTATGACTTTGTTGTTTGAGGAGGCCCCTATTCACACAAATATCTGGCTTCGTCCTTATCTACCAATGCGTCTGTTCTAAATTTCGTATTAAAAAAGGTCAAGTTTTATAAAATAAAATAAATAAAAACCGAAAGTGTTCCGAAACCAAACTGAAAAAAAAAACTAAATCAAAGAAAACCAAGAGAAAATTGAACCTAGCCGAACCGAACTAAAGTTTCGATTCGGTTTCAGTTTTGGTAAAAAACCGAACCAAATGAAACCGAACCCACCCCTACCATATGCATTGCTCTGAATTTGGAATCAAATAATGTTGGTGTTGTATTAATGGGTGATAGTTTGATGATACAAGAGGGGAGTTCTGTAAAAGCAACAGGAATAATTGCTTAGAGACCAGTAAGTGAGGCTTTTTTAGGTCATGTTATCAATGCACTGGCTAAACCTATTGATGGTCGGGGTGAAATTTCATCTTTTGAATCTCAGTTAATTGTGTATCCCGCTCCTAGTATTATTTTAGGACATTCCGTATATGAGCCTTTTCAAACAAGACTTATTGTTATTGATTCAATGATTCCTATAGGGCGTGGTCAGCGAGAATTAATTATTATGGACAAACAGACCTATAAAACAGTAGTCACCACAGATACTATTCTCAATCACCAAAGGAAAAATGTAATATGCGTTTATGTAGTTATTGGTCTAAAAGCATCTTCTGTGGCTCAGGTGGTGACTGCTTTACAGGAAATGGGAACAATGGAATACACTATTGTGGTAACTGAAACTACGAACTCCCCTGCTACATTACAATACCTTGCTCCTTATATAGAAGCAGCTCTGGCTGAGTATTTATATATTGTGAACAACACACTTCGATCATTCAAAACAATCTCTCCAAACAAGCGCAGCTGTATCGACAAATGTCTCTTCTATTACGAATACCACTGGGCCGCGAAGCTTATCTAGGAGATGTTTTTTATTTACCTTCATGCGTTTTGGAAAGAGCCACTAAATCAAGTTCTCGTTTAGGTAAAGGAAGTATAACTGTTGTACCAATAGTTGAGACCCAATTAGGAAATGTTTCAGCTTATATTCCTACTAATGTAATTTCCATTACAGATGGACAAATATTCTTATATATATTATATTTAGGATAATGAATTTACAATATATTGAAAGTCCAGGTTTTGAACAGAAACGTTAAGTAAGGTCATCTCCAACTGATCCGGCAAGAGAGTCATAGGGCTAAAAATAGCCATAAATGATACGAAAATTGTCTCCAATTGAAGGCTAGGCCAAGGGGCTCGTGGGCCCCACCAGACCACAATTGTACAATTGGGCCAACTGGCTAGCCCGAGCCAGCCAGCCTTGGGCTGGCCCAGAAATTCAAGCCCAACGACTACTTGGCATTAGCATGACGCCATGTTGTCGTTGGATTTGATTTTTTTTTTTTTTTTTACAATTTAAAAAAAAAATTCTAATTTTTTTTTTTCCTTATAACTACCAAAGCCATAAACAACATTAAATAACACTAAACAATGTTAAACAATATTATACAACATTAAATAACATTAAACTTAAACAACATTAAAGAACACAATCTCTACCGTAGTACTAGTTAAGGAAGTTATTCAAACTTAAACAACATTAAAGAAAAACATTTAACAATATAAAACTCAAATGCCTACTCCATGCTTCTTTTGGCCCAAAGATGTGTAACAAGATCCTGTTGTAGGTACTTGTTTGTGGCACGCGAACGTATCATCCTATTGCGCCTCATGTACTCATTTAATGAGATATTACCAGTTCTTGGATCCAAAGGCAAATTAGGCCCATCATATATTTTTGCACGAGCCTTCCTTAACTTATTTGGATCATCTTGGTCATCAACAGATTCTCCATCAATATAGCCATCATGCTCATCCTTCACAATCATGTTGTGTAATATGATGCACGACATCATGATGAAGTTCAATTTACCTCGACTCCACCTTCTTGCCGGTTCCTTGATGATCTTACACCGTGTTTGTAGAATATCGAAAGCTCTCTCAACATATTTCCATTATGCCTCTTGGTGTAAGGTAAACCACCTCTAGGCGTCATTCTCAAGGTTTGCAATTGCTTGGACAAGTGTCGCCCACTTTGGGTAGATGTCATATGCCAAGTAATACCCCATATTGTACTGACGCTCGTTGATGTAGTAGTCAAGTTGAGGTGATTTACCCTCCGTCAGGTTATTGAAGAGGGGTGAACGCCCAAGAACTATAATGTCATTTTGAGATCTTGGGACTCCAAAGAAAGCATGCCATCCATGTATCAAACGAGGCAATCGCCTCTAACACAATAGTTGCCTTTCTCGATCTTCCGCTAAAACCTCATTGCCATCCGATGGGACATTTCTTCCACTACTAATGCATGCAATCTAATGACCATATTATACCTGAAAAGTCACGGCCTTTAGCTTTACAGAAGAGCCGATCCATATCTGTTTGATTTGGTTCAAGGAGGTACTCCTCTTTGTAAAGCTGAAAAACTATGTGACAAAATTCAGTAAGATTATCAAGGCATGTAGACTCATACATACCATATGTATCATCCATCGCATCAGCGGGGGAAGCATAGGCCAGCATTCGGAGTGCAATAGTAACATTCTGATGAGGAGAGAAACCAGGACGACCTGCTCTGTCCAGTTTATGTTGAAAGTATGGATTGACATGTTGGACATCATGAAGTAAACGCTAGAAGACATGACACCTCATCTAGAAGCAACGTCTGAAATCCTCTTCTGTGTACATCGAGTTGGGGTTGAAGTAGTTGTTGATCAGAGTCTCATACGCCATCTCTCTATTTCGTGGTTTGTAAGAGCGACCAGCAAAAGAGTCACCCCAATGAGGTTGTTTTTCAGTTGGCTTACATGCCATGACCCCGGCCATGGCTATTATATATGATGTGTTGCGCCATGCTTCATCTTCTTCATCAGACTCCTCATCTTTTCATCTTATTTGCGCCCATTTATCTTCCAATTCGGAATTGGATGAGGACCCCCAATTGGAATCCGAAGAGGATCCAAAGTTGGAATTCATTGTGAACTTGAATTGAAAGAGATTAAATCGAAAGAGATATTGGAAAGGGCAAAGCTGAAGGTGTGTGAATTATAGCCCAATATCCACCCTATTTATGGACATTGGAAGTCGAAGATAAGAAGTGCCACACAGATAAAAAATCCTATCTAAAATTCCCACAGCCAATTACATCTCGACATGTGGCACTCGAAATCCTATCCGAAAAATTATTGAGATTACATATCGACAAGAAATCTAGATAGTTACTCACATATCGACACGTGGCACTCGAAATTTGAGACGTAAAATTATTGAGATTCCATATTGACAATAAATCTGCAAAGTTACCCACATATCGGCATGTGGCACTCGAAATCCGAGTTGAAAAATTATTGAGATTCCATATCGACAACAAATCTGGAGAGTTACTGACTTTAGCTACACGTGTCACTCGAAATCCTATCTGAAAAATTATTGAGGTAGTATAATTTAAGTAACCATATTAATTCAATTAAAAACATAAGTTATGTTTGGCCTATGGCTTTTTGGCCCCCTCGGTTGGAGTTTGGTTTTTTGTCACAAGGATATGTTTGGCCTATGGCCCTTTGGCCCTTTCGGTTGGAGATGGTAAGAAATATGGCCTAGCACTATTCATTAAAATATTAATTTCTTGGAGGGCTATAGGGCTAAAGGGAGCCCGCGGGCCCTCCTTCGGTTGGAGATAGCCTAAGGTCTATGCATTTCAATAGTCAATGTAGAGACAAACAGAACAAATGCAAAAACTTCTCTCCGAGTGTGAAAGACTCTCTCTGAGGTGAGAGTTCTTTCTCTCTGTGTGTGAGTGTAGTACAAAAACCTTGATTTCTATTTCTTGCCCTCGGCCCTAATTCCTTTTAGGGTCGGTGGAAACCCTCACTTCTCTCTTTTTGTGTTTTTTCTTTTCTTTTTGTTAGTTTTCCCTGATTTTCTTCTTGATTTTGTCTTGCCTTTTCACTGCTAACTATCTTTGTTCTCCTTCCCTCAGATCCACACATCCAACCCTCAAAACCACTCATCTACACATCCATCCACATAAACTTCATTTGCCTTCCACCGATTTCATCTCGGATTCGACTTTTAACCAATTTTGACTGCGAAGTGTTGCGGTCATCTGAAAAGGTGCATCACAAGCTTCTTGTATTTGGTGGTCAAGTTCGTTCAGATGCTGTCCGTCGGAAGACAATATCCATTTTCTTTCTACCTGAGGTGTTGGTTACGGGTATGGTGGGTGGTGGAGTTTTAAGATTGTTGGGGGAGCTCCGGTGAATTCGACGAAGGTCAAAAGAATCAAGGACATAAGTGGAAGTTCAAATGATGAAAAAAAAGGGTTTAGGAATATCAGCACATTTCCTAATAACATGTTCATCTTAGAAAGTTAATATGTAGTCGTTTTATTTAAGAATAATATTACGAAGATCACATCTACTACATTAGTGTACTCAAAATCGATGGGATCTGTCAAACAATAATTAATGTTGTCTTAAAAATTCTTGTCCCTTACTGTTCAATTTATTCAAAATTTGCCGTACGAATACACACGATCCCACCTTTGGAGACGCAACATATTTTAATGTAGTTTAGCAGCAAGAGAGTAGGAAATTTTGTGTTGTTTCATTGAAAAATGACTAAGAATGCGATTCTTTTTTCTTGTTTAATTAGTCTTTTTTATGTACTTTCCATTTTTTTTTGTTAAAAATTATATACGTTCGTTAATCTCAATCATATTGTATAAAAGTCAAAGATCTTAATCTTAGTAAACCAAGGTTATTAAGTAAATTAATTATCCCACTTGGAAGATTTGTACAGATCTAGCTTATCGTGTAAAGGTCAACATATAGGTTGATGATGTTGAATCCTTGGTTTCAGAATTCAACTCAACTGTCAATCTGTTTCTATAGTTTCTTACTTAGGGTCTCATCCCATCGATCGACAGGCTTGTGAAGGAAGCCAATGAGGTAAGAACAGTTGAAAAAAACCCTCGAGGTCTAGCATATCTTAGTGTCCTTTGTACGTATACTAGTCCTTAATTTGACCAGTGAGATCGATGAGGAATCTTTGAAATCTACAAAATACCTTGAGCTAGCTGCCATGCAGTTGCATGCAGAAGTCAAAACCAACGTAATTATTATATATTATATATGTTGTTTGTTGATGCATAAAATCCGGCGGATCTTTGACCAACGTAAATCTGGCCATGAATCACACAAACGCACAAGAACACAAAAATGTATCGTGGTTCACCCTAATGTTTAGGCTACGTCCACACTGATGTTGATTCCATTTCACTATATGAATGTATGGATTACAGTAGATCGGCAAGGGAGCTCTTTGTGGATACAGCCCTTGCCATTTTGCTCTCTGTTTGGCTGAGAGGGTATTGCCCTCTATCGTTGTGAGGAGAATGTGAGACCCCCTCCTTTCCCATCTTGTGAAGGTAAGGAGAACCCCTTTTATAGAGTAAGGGTTTCCTCCTCTTACATAAATCATGGGCTTAATATCGAGGCACAAAATCAATGAGGACTTTGGTACAACAGAAAGTGTTAAGTTTGTGACCTTCGCTAGATTGCTCCGGTCACTAGTGTGGATAAGTATGCAAATGGATAGATATAGGGAAGCAAACACAAGATGTACGTGGTTCACCCAGATTGGCTACATCCATGGAGTAGATGAGTTCTCATTAATTGTGAAGGGTTTACACAAATACATAGGTTCAAGCTCTCCTTTAGTGAGTACTAGTAAATGATTTAGTACAAATGACATTAGGCAATATTGTGGGAGAATGATCTCATTTCATAGAAGAAAGTTTCTAGCTTTGTTTTAACATTGACACGTGTCGTGTTGTGATTGGCTTTTGATGTTGACACGTGTCGCGTTATGATTGACTTCTGATGTCGACACGTGTCGCGCTGTGATTAGCCTCCTAGTTGGAGGCAAACTCTTCTGAGTCCTTGACGATATAACGTTGACCGGTGCTCGGTAGTTTCGGGATTGGTCAACTATGGTACAAACAGTGCTCCCCAAAGTTTTTGAGTGAGGGAAGTTTCTTGGTTGGGGAC